GCCGCTGAAGCCTACCAGGGGAGTATCCCGTCAGGTTTAGATCGCTTGTTTGGAACTATAGCTTGTTGAAGGCGTCTTTGAACAGGATATCAGCCGAGCTACCTGAATCCACCAAGACGCGCTTGACTTCGAAATCATTTATCCTCAACTTTATCACCAAAGTGTCATCATAAGGATATTGGGTCTTGCGCACACCATCTTCTATGAAGTAGATGGGGTCTTCGAGCCTAGGTCACTTCGGCAGGTTCTACTCTTCATTTTCTAATTCATGAACTGAAGCTCGACTTGCTGCCGAAGTGCAGCCCGCGATGATGGACCCACTAGTAATCATGTTGATTACTCCGCAGATCGGCCTTTCTTCAGGCAACTGCCATGGCGGCTGTTCACTCTGTTTGCCGCTGGATTCGGGGGCGTTTCTTCTCTAGTCCCCTTGTTGATCTGTTTGGCGATCTGCTTGGTTCCTGTCTTCTCTTTGTATAAAGTTTTTTAGATATCCACGACGGATGAGTTTTTCGATCTCGTCATAGAGGTTCCTGCAGTTCTCTGTACTGTGTTCGTGGTCTTTGTGGAAATGACAGTACACATTTCTGTTTCTGGTGGCGGGATCTCCCCTCAACCAAGGTGGCCACTTCACATAGGAGGAGTCTTTGATTGCCATCAGGATTTCTCCTCGCTTCGCGTTGAGGGGTGTGTAGCTCGTCCTTTCGACAGGCGGAGTTCTGGAACGCTGACATGACTTACAAGATCGCGAAGGAGATCAGCTCCCAAACTTGTTTCCTCCTCTGGTCGGGGACTTACTCTTTATTCTCTTGTTCCCATCATTGCTTACGTTGTCACCTTCCCTTTTTCTCTTTTCTATTGGATTTTCAGTCTTTTGATTCATCTCTTCCTCGGTCCCGAGAACTGGTCGGCGAGCTTAAAGAATTCGGTGATGTCTTTCGGCTTATTGGCCACCACATACCACTTGAACTCCCTATGGGTTATGCCTTTCTTTGCTAGCATGAGCCTCACCGCTGGATCTACATCGGGGATCTGCAGGCAGGTGTCATTGAAGCGTTTGATATAGCTTCTGATAGACTCCCCTTCTCTTTGAACTACGTTGAGGAGGCTTTCTTGGACCTCGAGCACTTCTTGTTGTGATGAAGTGCAAGGTGAACAACTTTATGATCTGTGCCCAACTTTTGATTGTTCCTGGCGCGAGGTTCCAGTACCATGTGCGAAGTACTTTTAATGTGGTGGAGAAAGCTACGCACATGCAGGACTCGTCAGCCCTAACTAGGTGCATCTAGGACTGAAAGGAGTCTACATGATTGTTTGGATCAAAAGATCCATCATACTTGTCGAGAGGAGGCATTTTGAAGTCCTTTGGCATCGGGGTTGCCAAGAGCTTGGAGGATAGAGGGGACGACCCAGAGAGGAGAGGAGCGGTCTTTGTGCCTGCTGAGCTCGCTTCCTCTTTACCTTTTACTTGTTCTTGTTGGTTTGGCCTTGTGAACTGGCTGTTTTGAACTGCAATTCGGCATGCTTTGCGACGCCTTTGCTACTGCTTCTTTGTCGGCTCCACATTGGTGCTGCTGACCTCTGTGTGGTCAGGTACTGTTCTGTCGTGGGGTGCCTCTTGATTCTCTAGATGCAGAGGCTAACTACCACAGATGGAAGGGGCTTGCCTTGAGTTCGTGGCCAGAACCCCGAATCGGTTACCTAAGAGCGATCCTTCTTGATGCGAATGCCGAGGTAAAATGGCCCTGGCGGGCTGAGTGTCCCCTGATCTGTTTCCAGCGTTGCCCTGTGAAGTGGGCGGAGTGACCTGCCCGTCTCTCCTACCACGAGGTGTAACTTGGCTCCTGAGAGGAAGTGGAACCTGGGAAGTCTCCTCGACGGGGAGAACGAGTGTTCTGCACACGAGGTCAATTATGCTATACTGTTGGGTGCCGAGGTGGAACCGGCTGCTGGCTTTGCTACAGTGGAGGAAACTGTTGTTGATAGAATTGGTAGAAGACTTGTAGTTGATACTGCTGACACTGTTGGACCTATTGCATTTGGGTCTGAATGGCCCAGACGCAGTGTATCAGGTCGTCGAACTGGGATTGCCCGACTTCGGGGGGAACCACAGACAGTTCAGCAAAGGTCGCACCACCTACAAGGGGAGTGGTGTGTTTACCTGCATAGAGGCTTGCGGCATGGTCAGTGTTGGAACCCCAACCGGAGTGAGCGGTATGGTAAACTGACCGATGCAAACTGATGGGAACTGAGGCTACCCCCCGGAGATGTTCATTTCAGTGCTCTGGTCGGTGTTGTTGGAAGATGCCATGGATTTTTGAGTTGTTGATGGTGGAAAAGGCTTTTTGTAGTGTTTCCCACAGACAACACCAATTGATGTAGCGTGATCTGACTGCTCCCTGCTGGAGGTTGATCTGGCTTCCAATCGGACGGCGAGCTAGGTGATCTGCAAAATAAGATTAGAGAACCCGGGGTGGCTAACCCGGCGAGGTCGCTCCGATGCTTAAGTTAGCAAACTTGTTGCGAGCTGAAAAATGCTGAGAATATTGAGAGCTAGAGAGTAGAGAAATCACACGTACCTTGAACCATCGGGGGTGGAGCCTTTATATAGTTGAGTCCTCGCGGGTTTTGCGGATCGGTTGCGGGAGCTTCGTCACGATGAGATCTGTTTCCGCTTTAATTGGGGGATAATGCTATCAACTGATAAGGCTTATTAATTCCGCCCGAACCGGGCGGGAAGGAAATAAGGCTTACTGTTACACGATGTGATCCCGCGAGGTTTGGGATCCATTTGAGGGATTTCCGGAATCGCCATGTTGTGGTCTGAAGGTGTCCCTGAGCTGATGCCTTTAAAACCCGAACTGGGTTAAATGCTGAAGTGCCTTGGGACCGAGGTGATCCTGTTGCGATCTGGTACCGAGGTGATCTCATCCCGAGGTGACCTTGTCCCGAGGTCAGTTTATCCCGGGGTGGTTGGATATCTGAGCTCAATCTATTGTGGACTGGTCATGTCAAGCTGAGTTGTCATCTCTTGGTCAGGTCATGTCCACGTGTCCCCTTTTTACTAGGTCGGGCCAAATCACCCTTCATCAAATTCGACCAAGCCTTTTCACAAAGACTAGGCTGAACCCATGTGGATTTATATGAGGTCGTTGTGGGGTCCCACGCCATACAAATCAGGTCTAAGTTGGTCATGCAACACCCTTGGGTTGTGTTCCTTATAGTTAATGGACCTATGGTCAATAATTAATATGATTAATTAAGCTGGCACATGACAAGTTATGGGGCGAATCTGGGTATGGAGTACCTAATCTTATGAGAAGATAAGGTATATCTCTAATTAGAGTCCATATCTTATTTAGATCTGGATTATCTCGTAATTAGTTTAGGAGATAGCTCCATAAGAGATTATAAAAGAGGAGGGGAAGGACCAGTTCAAGACAGATTCATATTTTTGCAGTTTTTTGTTCTCTCTGCACATTTTTTTTTTCTAATTCGACCTCAGCTATCTAGGACTGATATAATCAGTTTTTCCTCTGATTTTTGCAAGAAAAATTTAGGAGATATCAGGCTCATCATCCTTAGTTCGATTCAAGTAGTTGGATCTCAATTTTATTGAAAACTGTGTTGATGAATCAATTTCACCTATACACTGCGCCATATTCAGTGGAGGCTGATTTTAGGACTGATTTGGGCATCAATTTCCACGTTGGGATCTGCAATTGTGGTATCCGTATAAGGTAGACATCTCCCCCTTTATTTGGTTTCAAATCTAGTTTAATTTAGTGTTTTTTTACTTCATTAGTTCATTTCATTTAATAGTCCCCTTCCATCTCTAAACCTATGGTTGTTGGCAACAAAAAATGGTCTATGCCAAGCTAAGAAGAATGGTAGAAAATGACTCAGATGTTCCTGACAATCATTTCTTCCGGTGTGTTTATCATCGTTCTTCTCAATGTCTTTGCACCAAACTAAGAAGAGCGACCGTAATAGTCTTGGGGAAATTCCACCATTTTGAGCAGAAATCAAACTTTCGAGCTTGGATTTTTTAGTAGTAATGGTGGATTAGACTGGTATATCCGGTATGTGGTACGCCTCGATACACATTAGAACCTACATTTGGGTTGCAAACAGGGAGGCTCGGTCAAAAACTTGGTTTTGGTAACAATGAGATCGATTGAGGATGGCCGGCTGAAGATGACGGACTCTGATGCCCATGATGTATGGCAGACGGAAAATGCAGAAGGGGCCATGGAGGAGATGCTTTTAAACATTGGAACTTGGTTCTCCTATTCCACGAAGGGACGAACGTTGGGCAAAGTTTCTATTTTTCAGCTGATACATGGATTATAGGAATGAACATCACGGGCTTGTGGTGATAACATCTTGGAGGAGCACATCTGACCCGCCACCGATGGATTTTGCGTCCACGAATGCTGGTGTACAATGAAATTGCCTAATGCGATGTTTTTAGGTTAGGGCTCGACGGAGGAGAGGAAGAAATGGGAGGGAATTCGAATGAAATTCCTTGAAATAGGGTTTTAGGTATTTTTTTGTCGTTTTGTGTCCCGTTCAATTAGTTTACAAGCTACAATTGCTAATGGTAGAATGCCCGCTAAAGTTATTGTGGATTCACGCTTCTCGTAAACCCATGGGTTCATAGAACACGATCTCTATATATCCAAATATGATCCAATGATTTAATTTCTTTCAAATTTAACAAATTATCAAGTGGAAAAAAAAAATAACAATCTATAATCCATAAATATTCGGATAGGGTGCCAAATTCGATCCGACTTTTTAATTGGATCAAATTATCCAAAAATCCAACGGGGATATCCGAATACGTCAAAGATCGGATTCAAATGATCCGATCCATTTGTACCCTACTCACCATTCACCGTTCCCCAACATAGGAAGATTTGTCCTTTAGCTATCAAGAGCGTACCCTCACTAGTTGCGCGTAGTACTAGCATCTCCTGTCTGTAAATTGCTCCTTTCTTTTGCTTGATTCTTCCTTTTCCGCAAATCGCAATACAGAGGTTAGGGTTCCATCCTCTTCCAGGAGCAATGGCTGATCGATTGACTCGAATTGCCATCGTCAGCTCCGATCGTTGCAAGCCCAAGAAATGTCGTCAGGAGTGTAAGAAGAGCTGCCCTGTTGTTAAAACAGGTATACGAGATTCGCTAAATTGTTCCTTTTTTACTTCTGTTGTAAACATTATTTTTTTTATTTATTTAGTTTTTGGATTTTCTGTTCATATCCTATTTTAGATGATGAAGATAACTGGAGTTCTGCAAGTGAATTGTGGGTTTATTAGAACTTGATTATCACCCAACAACTGAAAGATTATCTATTTTATATGTCTAGGAACAAGAGCTATGTCCACAATGCTTTTTGTCTCTTCCATTGGATCGTTGTACAAAACTTGAACTCTTTTGTTTGATTCATGTGAAAGAGATTTTTAAAATTTTTTCTTATCGATATGGAAGATTGGTTTTGCTTGTTCTCTTAGAAAACGTGGTTGCGGGTTTTATTTTTATGATTGTAGAAGAAGGCTCATGGGTTTGAGAAGTAAATTTTAGATATTGGAAGTTTAACTTTTTTTTGGAGTAAAGTTTTGCTCTTCAAGAGTTGAGGCCTGCACATTTAAGGAATATATTTTTCTTGTTACAACTTTCTTCTTGAAAAGCAGCAAGTATTTGTTATGTTTTTGGGTGACAAATCATTGGGTTTTGAGTGTTACATGGACTCAAACATGTAGCATTCTAGCTAACTAAACTGCAAGCTTCGTTGTTTGTGTAGTTAACTAAAAATAATCCAAGAGCTTAAAGTTGGGTTGCTAGTGTTTCATAAAGAATAGAGTTAATTTGTAGGAAATTGCAAAGTGGACAGAATCCAATTCCAATATTATTCACCAACTTGGCGAAAATTTTGAATTGGAAATTTTGGAGTCATCCCATGGGATTTTCAACATTCTTGGAGTCATTCCTGATCTGGCATCTTTGATATTTTATTTGAAAAGAAGAGATAGTGATAGCTAAATCATGGGCTTTTTGTTTCTACATTATTCTCTTACCAATTTCATTGGTGTCTCTGCAGGTAAATTGTGTATTGAAGTTACACCTGCATCTAAGATTGCCTTTATCTCTGAAGAGTTATGTATTGGATGTGGTATTTGTGTCAAGGTTTGTGGAATAGAACTTAACTTTTCTGCCTTGGATACCTGAATAATAGGTGAGCATACATTATGGGTAAAACTAATTATATCTTCCTGTGCAGAAATGCCCGTTTGAAGCCATTCAGATCATCAACTTGCCAAAAGATCTGGATAAAGATACAACCCATCGATATGGCCCAAATACCTTCAAGTTGCACAGGTTGATATACAACCTAATTTCTCGAAATATGAAAGATTGACTTTTATTGCCTCTAACACAAGATGCTGAAACTTGCAATTACAGGCTTCCAGTTCCAAGACCTGGACAGGTTCTTGGCTTAGTTGGAACAAATGGCATTGGGAAGTCAACTGCCCTCAAAGTTTTGGCTGGGAAGTTGAAACCTAATTTGGGTCGTTTCAATGTAATTTAATCTCTTTGAACCATTTTCTTGTAATTGTTCCTTCAAAGCCTACATGATTCACTATTGCTGTTGGCATATCTATTGCAGAATCCTCCTGATTGGCAAGAAATACTGACATACTTCCGAGGATCTGAGCTGCAGAACTATTTCACCCGTATCTTGGAGGACAATCTGAAGGTGCCCATATTCTCAGTTCAGTTTTGATTTTTTTTGGTAGTAAATATTTTTTGAGATAGGGTAAGGTAATTTTATTAGAAACCAGAACAAGAGATTACAAAGGAGCCCCAAAAGAGGAGCCACAAACAGGATCCGTAATCCCAGATTAAATTACAAATCTAACAGACTTCTTGTTCTCAGCTGGACCCCAAGCACCGAAGTCTGGAGACCTTTTGTATCCGCAGACCAAAAAACTATCTTGCCAAAAGTACAAGAAACTAAACAGTCTGCATTCTTAGTACTATTTTGGAATATCCTTCTACTTCTTTCCGCCCAAATAGTACTATTCACTGCTGCAGGAACAGACATCCACACACTCTTTGCTAGCTTGGACCAAGCCATGGAGCTCCCAGCACCATAACAGGTCCACCATAGAATTCGACATGACCCAAGATAAGCCCAAGGAGGAAAATAAATGCCCCCAAATTGCAGAAGAAACAGGACAATGGATGGACAAGTGGTTGTTGTCCTCTTCTGCTTGGCCACACAGCACACAGAGGAGGTTTTGAATCTGTACATCTCTCCTAACCAGGTTCCTTTTAGTTAGGCACCTGCCCAACACTGCAGCCCAAACCAAAGCATTTACTTTGGAGGGGGTATCGGATTCCAGATTTTAGCAGCAGGTACATCAACTTTGGAGGGGGTTAGGGAGTCAAGAAAGGAGCCAAGAAATACCAGAGAATGAAGAAGAACAAAAGAGGAAACATGCTTGTCTTTGAAAGTGCATATGTAGTAGTACAAGTCTGGGTGGAAATCCTTGAGTGGAGAGTCTTCCCACTATAAGTCTTCCCAAAGCTAACCTTAGTGCCAATTTGAACATCATCCCTTATGAAATTTAGAAACTAAGGAAGGAATCCTATTAGAACTTTGCATGAACTCAAAGTTGCACTCTTGTAGAAAGCTCTACATTCCAGCCATTTGCATGCTTACCATGAATGCTTAATACCACATAATACCATAATCTATCCTTCAAAGGAAGTCTCCAAAGTCACTTCCCAAACAATGCTTGATTTCTAACTCTCAACTTCTCTATATCCAAACCACCCCACTTTTTCTCTTCACAATTATGGCCCAATACACTAAATGGTCCTTTTTATCATCACTTGGATCCTACAAAAGTCCATTATTTTCTCTAATTTATTGGCTACATGAACTTGGATTCTGAAACTGAGAGGTAGTATATGTGTAATTTGGTTAGGGTTGAATTGATCAATTTAATTCTACCTCCTAGGGAAATGTAGTTCCACTTCTAGGTGGCTAGATTTTTTATTTTTTTTTTCTTTACAACCGATAATAGAAGCATACCTACCTAGTTCTAAGTCCCCCATGTTGACTGCCACGATATAGCTCTTACTTAAATTTATTCTAAGATTGGATATCTTCTCAAAACATTTGATTAAGAGTTGCAAGTTCCTTGCCTCTACTTCCTCGGTGTTATCATTGAATAGAATGATGTCATCAGCAAATTGTAAATGAGTGATTATAGTCTTTCTTCTATCCACCTTCCATCCCTTGATAAGTCCCATGTTATATTCTGTATGATTAATTTGTTGAAAACATCTGATATAAGGGCAAGTAGGAATGGGGATAATGGATAACCCTTCCTAAGTCCCCTTTTGAACCCAAGGAAACCTTTTACACCCGTTGACCAACACTGAATAGTGAGTGGATTGAACACAACCTTTTATCCATTTCCTCTATCACTCACCAAAACCACATTTCTCTAGCATTTTTCCCTTTTGGCTAGACCTTTTCTTTTCTTCAATACATTCATTAGCAGTCAGAATTTGATTTGTTATTTGCCTGTTTTGCACAGGTTCCTTGATTTTGGGTTATTAAGGAAGGAACATTGATTTGAAAAAACTCAATAAAAGAAGAAAAAGAAATCCTATCATAGACTCATCAGCTGTTTATCAATTTGCCATGACTTGATTAATTGATGTTTGGGTGATATTATCTTGATGCCACAGTATTTGATTGGATGAAAGCTTACAGCTGCAAGAAGAAAAGAAACTCAGACCATATCAAAGCCCAAGCCCATTATTACACAAGACCAAACCCATATAATTTTACCGGTATTGAAACCCATGCCTTTTACCCATACCCATTATCCATATCCACATCCATGTTTCCTTCCCATAGCCATACCCAAAATCTAAGTCCATGGCCAGCCAACCCATTAATTGGAGCATACATTGGGAACTAATGCAAGTTCGATGAACCTTGGTGGAGTTTCTTGGAATAAAAGGCAGAATATAGAAGGTCAACAGTCATCTTGAAGTCTTAGTCACTAAGAAATGTATGGGGAGTTAAAGTTGCAGATTTTTTAGAAGTAATTTAGATTTAATGCTAGTTTCCTTACCTAACAAGGAAGCTTGCCTATGTAAAGGAATGCACTAATCTGTTTCAGTAGTGAATGAATTGAGTATTTTCTTTGAGCAATTTGTGCTTTGGTGGTCTGACTTCATTTTCTTAGAGGTGTGACTCCTCTAACTGATTGGTGCAACTCCAATATGGGATTAGAATTCTGTGGGATACTGAAGACTCTTATTCAAGGTTGTGACTCAGCCCACTATTCTCTTTGATATTCTTTTTTCATTGATTTAGAGTTGATACCTAAATAACTCTGATTATTTTAAGTATCATCTTCGTGACCTTCATGACCAACTGTGTAATATGATGAAAGAAATATGGCACATTTTTTTTTTTAATTTCTTTTGCATTGTTTTTTCCTTTTGCTCCCTAAACTCTTTTTATATAAAAAATTTATGCTTTACATAATTCTAATTACTTTCTCATTCCCCTCCTTGAGAGAAAAAAAATTGTACGCATCCCCTCCTGTCCTGATAATTTTTTAGTTAATCTTTTTCTTAATTAGCCTGCTAATTAGTAAACTGATTGTTCAATAGGCAATCATTAAACCCCAGTATGTTGATCACATTCCAAAAGCAGTCCAAGGCAATGTTGGACAAGTTCTTGACCAAAAAGATGAGAGAGAAATGAAGGCAGAACTTTGTCTGGACCTTGAGTTGAATCAGGTTATAGATCGAAATGTGGGGGACTTATCAGGTGGAGAGCTTCAGAGATTTGCTATCGCTGTTGTAGCCATACAAAATGCAGAGATATATATGTTTGACGAACCTTCCAGTTATCTTGATGTGAAGCAAAGGCTTAAAGCTGCCCAAGTTATCCGATCTTTGCTCAGGCCTAACAGGTCTATGCTCAAGTGCCTGCACGTTTTCCTTAAGTTACTTTTGTTTTGGACATAAACTAATACTGTAATTTTGTATCTTTTTTCCTCCTTCAGCTATGTCATTGTTGTGGAGCATGATCTTAGTGTCCTAGATTACTTATCAGACTTTATTTGTTGCTTATATGGGAAGCCGGGAGCCTATGGAGTTGTGACCCTTCCTTTCTCTGTTAGGGAAGGAATTAATATATTCTTGGCTGGGTTTGTCCCTACAGAGAATCTAAGATTCCGGGATGAATCTCTTACCTTTAAGGTAAAATTTCTGTTTCATGTTGAACACATTTTCCTTGATTTACACAACAGTTTGTATTTGATTTCTTGCTTTTTTCAGGTTGCAGAAACTCCACAGGAAAATGCAGAGGAGGTTCAGACATATGCACGATATAGATATCCCACCATGAGTAAATGTCAGGGTAATTTTAAGCTTCGTGTGATTGAGGGTGAATTTACTGATTCCCAGATTATCGTAATGCTGGGTGAGAATGGGACAGGGAAGACAACATTCATCCGAATGCTGGTATACTTTCTTAGCATTCTCTCAGTTGCTCTGAATTTCATACTGGATTTGCAATTTGAAGTATTCCATTGAATTTTCAGCTTCTGCTATCTGCTTTTAAACTGACTGCTCGTCCAGTATCATGTTTGATCCAATTCATCTATATTCTGTTGTAACTGCAGGCTGGTCTACTAAAGCCCGATGAAGTTGAGGGTTCTGATGTGGAAATTCCTGAATTCAATGTTTCTTACAAGCCCCAGAAAATAAGTCCAAAATTTCAATCTACAGTCAGACATTTGTTACATCAAAAAATCCGTGATTCATATATGCATCCCCAATTTGTGTCAGATGTCATGAAGCCTCTTCTAATTGAGCAACTGATGGATCAGGAGGTTGTGAATCTCTCTGGTGGGGAGTTGCAAAGAGTTGCATTATGCCTATGTCTTGGAAAGGTACAATTTGCTTTATTTTTATTTTTTTGTGATACCCCTGCTTCTGAGTTTTTATGATTTAGTATCCATTATAAAAGGTATGATTATTCTTCTGCAAATATTTCAATATCGAATAGTTCTAGAAATTAAGAATTAATCAGGTTTATTGCAAAAAAAATAGGTTTATTTTCTGATTGGGGAAGACCAAGATGTTAATTTCTAATCTTCCATTTACTGTGTTCTTAATTTGTGTATTGTAAGGGTTGAAGATTCTGCTGCCGGACACAGTGGGACCAGTGGGACCATAGCCCTAGGATGTTAATTTGTGTTCTTAATTTCTAATCAGATTTGTCCTTAACCCTAGGATGAATAGAGCACATTCTACCCTACGGACACAGTGGGACCATAGCTGTGGGGCCACATCAGTGTTCTCTACAAATTGTTAATATAGTGGCAAACCATTTTTTGGCTTTGATGAGGGACGTTGATACTGATGTGCTAGGGTTGGGAACTGATGAGCATAGTGGGGTTTTGGTCCAGGTAGTTGGGCAACATAACATATATGGAGGCAGATGAAGATGATGAGGCCAGTAGATTCTCTTTGACTTTTTATATGGGGAAAGTCTGTGGCTGAAGCCCCAAAAATGGTAAAACTGGTTATCAGGAGAGGTTCACATTCTGCAGTTGGTTGTTGAGTGGGAAGTAGGGGTTGAGGGGTGAAGTGCTACAGCCAGGGTCTGCTTGAGTTGTCCCTCAAGACTCAGAGAGTGGAAACAGACATGATACCTTACACTACGAGTTTCACAGGTGTTGGATGGAAGGAGAGACAAAAAATATAGGGAGAAACTCTTTTTCTTCTCACTCTTCTCTCGGTTGTTGCCAACATTGAAATTGTGGGAGGGATCAGCCTCTCTATTTTTTAGTGTTTGAAAAACTATCTGTGTCAAAGAAGACAACAGACTTTTTGAGAGGATAGTCAGACATGGTGATTCAGGAGCTTAAGAGTCACAATTGGATTTTTTTTTTGAATTTTATGTATTTCTGTAATTTTGGATAGCAGGATTTGGTCATTTTAACATGTTTCTGTGTGGTCCAGCCTATTAGTTTGATTTGTCGGGTTATAATTGGTTTATGTTTGAGGTTTCAGAGTTATTTAAGTCTTCTTTGAATTGAAATAGGATAGTGGCAATAATAAGTTTTTATTTTGAATTTTTCTAGGATTCTTCTTAGTTTTTTTTTGAGACAGAAAGTAACTGGAATTCATTAAGAAAAAAGAGGTACACGAGGGTCAATGAAGTTTATTTGAGTTCCTACAGCTTCTGATACCTATTGTGTGTAATTCCCATGCCCTAGAGTGATTATAGGAACTCTAGGAGTGATTTCATTTCTCTCTCTCTCTCTCTCTCCTTTCACTCTCAAGGTTTTGATCTTAGTCACCCACAGCAATCAAAGGAAACGGCAATTCATTCATCAGTCCTACATTAATTGGTATCAGAGCTTTAATTTGATTGAGCTTCTAAGGTGTCTACTCTATTGCATAATGCAATCAACAGTTCTTTAGCTTGTTCACTCAATTCCCCTTTCATATTCCGTCTTTGATAGTGAGTCATCTAAGAGTTTGGTCTCTGATACCAACTGATGTAGGACTGATTAATTGGTATCAGAGCTTTAATTTGATTGAGCTTCTAAGGTGTCTACTCTATTGCATAATGCAATCAACAGTTCTTTAGCTTGTTCACTCAATTCCCCTTTCATATTCCGTCTTTGATAGTGAGTCATCTAAGAGTTTGGTCTCTGATGCCAACTGATGTAGGACTGATTAATAAATGGCTTTTGTCTTTGATTGTTGTGGGTGGCTAAGCTCAAAGCCTTGAGATGAGGGAGGGAGGGCGATTGTAACCTTTTTATAGTTTATGCTACCCACTCACCATGGGTAGCATAAACTATAAGCATTCAAATAAACTTCATTGATCCTTGTGTAAAATGTCCCTGCATATTTATAGACTATAAACTTTTAAGATTGCCCACTATCATTTCAATTCAAACAAGACTTAATAAACTCTCAAGCTGCCTAATAACTGAATGTTTTTGTTGTTCTTGATCTCTCATCAGCATTTTGGATTGTAACCTTTTTCTTTTTAAAGAAAATTTCTTTTTTCATTTATTTGAAAAAAAGAAGAAAAACGAACTTTAACTAAACAAATCAAACTAACTGGCTGGGCCCCATAGAGAATGTTAAAATGACCAAAGTACCCCTACTATCCAAAAATGCAGATGCATGAAATTCAAAAATTCTAATTTTGAATCTTTAGCTCCTGCATCACCCGTTTTTCCCCATTTCTGCAGCACTGATAGCTTTGAGAAGCTAGGATGGTATGCCAAGTCAGGTAGAAGGATCCTTGTTAGTGAACTTGGATGGGGAAGATGCAAGAAGCCAAGAACACAGAATGGCAAGTATGAAATGTTTTAGCACAGAAAAGTTTCCTATGCTTGACTCGAATTGGATTCATTAAGCATCTTTATTTGGTTGTCAGTCTGAATTGTTGACTATTAGGTTGTACCATAGGTGGATTACTATGCAAAGTTAGTACTGTAGTTTCATACAAGTCATCCAGTCAATAGCTTCATTTAAGTGGTCATAATAATATTTAATAGTTGAGAACTAATTGATCAACATATAGAGCAGAAAATGCAATGGTCATGATCCCTAAAAGAATAATTTCTTGTCCAGATATTTGGGGTGAAATATGAAATGGTCATCCATAACACTTGAGGGTTGAGTTGTGAAAGAATATGCGACTTCTTTCTCACACAGTTGTCTACATTCATATTCTCAGTCTCATCAGGTGGTTCCCCCTGTTTGCTAATATTTTGAGGCTTTTGATTGGTTTGGTTGCTAATATATATATATATTTTCGCGGGGAGGGGGGGGAGTGGTATGGATAATGAATCCTCTTTTACCAAGTAAATTCATTATGCAACAACATAGTTTGCTCTTTTTTACCTGTAGAGGTTTAATTGGTTTGAGCAAACATTGAATTATATCCATTGTCAGACTGAAAATATAAATGCTGTGCTTCATAATTGATATAGTGGTCTTTCATTATGTATTATTAGGCTGGAACTTTGACTGTGCTTTCTTAATCGCACATCTCTATTGGTGCATGCCTAGATGCAGGTCAAATGTATGTTTAGTCTGAGATTTGGTGCTAACATTGATAAATTTACTTGCTTTACAATATTTGGTTATATCATGTAAAACTATCTCTGCAAGTAAACTTTTTAGAAACACTTTTGCTTGGGTAAGCTTAAGTTTGATGTTAATAGTTCCTCCTAGCCAAAGTTTTTCTATGTTTTCTCTGCAACTGAATGAAGAAAAGATAATGGCTTGAAAATTCAAACTGGTATTTTATTTTTTAAGACAAGAGGGAGTTGTTTAAAGAATGTATTTGGCATGCTTCATTTTGATTGTCATTTGATCATTTCAAGTGCTTTTCAGATGACATGTTTTGTGGTCCTTGACTCTTTTTGCAGCCAGCAGATATTTACTTGATAGATGAACCAAGTGCTTATCTTGATTCGGAGCAGCGTATTGTTGCTTCTAAAGTTATAAAGAGGTTTATCCTACATGCTAAGAAGACTGCTTTTGTGGTGGAGCATGACTTCATAATGGCAACTTATCTGGCAGACAGAGTTATTGTGTACGAAGGAAAACCATCTATTGATTGTACTGCCAATGCTCCGCAGTCCTTGTTGACTGGGATGAACCTTTTCTTATCTGTAAGAACCAATTCTTGATTGCTAGTTATTCTTTTTTCCTCTGACAATTACAATTCAGATTTATACAATTTTATTTGCTCAGGGATTAGGATGATACTCAAAACTTGCTGAGCATTGTAGTTCTTTATACCCTAATAACCCTTTAGATCATGAACTTACAAAACTTCCTTTTTATTGAAGAAGGAAACTTTGTAATAATGATATAGGTTCAAGAATTTACAGGTATAGAGCTATAGCTCATGTATAGTAAAAACTATACAATACATGGGGGAAGATACCACAAAAATGGAAACAATATAACCATTGATTGAAGAAAAAAAGAAAGGGGAAAAATGGTAAAATCTTGGGCTAGCAAGTATTAGAATGTGGGGTTGAGTCTGAAAGCAGTCACTTCTTGCCAAAAAATGTCAAAAGCTAGTTCTGTATCTTGTCCACCATTCTCTAGACCCCAGATAGCTCGGTGCCTAATACCAACATTGGGTAATGGCCTTTTTAGTGAAGATAAAAGAAAACTCAACTAACAGAAAAGAGAATGGTAAATGAAGAAGAAATAGAGAAAACACCAAAATTTAACGTGGAAAGAGAGGGAAAAATATCCACTATGAGAACAAGAGATACATGGCTGACCTCTCTACAGACTCAACAAAATATCCACCCTCACTCAACCCTAATCCCACAACCAACGGCTTAAATAAGCAAAAGATCAAATTATATCAGAGTTTCACACAGGCCCCTTTTCCTCCCATAAATACATACAAGTCCCCAAAATTTATCAACATTATAAATATACCCCTGTAACCTCCAACATGCACTACGATCAAAATACTTCTTTTTCTTTTATTTGTACAAAATGGGTGTCATGTGAGAAATAAGATGTTGGGCCTTGGCACAATGTTTGGGTTTCTCTATTGTGACCTGGTCTCTTGGGTTCAAATGTTGGAAACAGCCTCTCTGTGAATCTGCAGCAGTAAGGCTGTGTACATCTGCCCCTCCCCAGGCCCTGCATTGGCGGAAGCCTAGTGCACTGGACTGCCCTTTGGAGAAATAAGTGTTCTGTCTACATTCCTGAAGCTACTTGGAACAGATGATCAAGAGTGTACTGTTGCCACCTCTTTTCTAAGTCCTGTAGATCTATTCTTGAAGATTAATACATTTTTACTTGCTTCCAAACTGTCTTTAGGGTTGGTAAGGGAATGCTCAATATCGCCTTGTTGCTTTTGTTTGATCTTTTGCTTTGCCACTTTGTTACTACCTCAAGTATAGGACTTTGGAAGCATCAATGGATATTAAAAAGCTGAAAGAAGCGTGTCCAGAAACTCCAGATAGTGGAGCTAAATGATGGGCAATGGAGGATTAAATGATGCAATTGCTAGATGATATCTCTTAATACCTCTCTTTAGTACTGATTAATTCATCCCTTGTAATGCATTTCCTGGGAGCTGCTGCTTACTCCTAGAGAAAACCTCCCATATTCATTGGAAACTTAGGCAGCATTTGGTGAGAGTTCAAAAAGTGAATGCACTGATGTGAACACAAATTTGTTCAAATAGAAGGATGCAGACCTGGGTTGACTTTGCAGTCATAAATTTATGGTGTCTTGTTTTGGTTCATTGGTTGTTATCGGTGCAAACACGAATCTCAAGTCTGGAACCAACCTATTTTACATTGACCAACTTTGAGTTCAAAAGCAGTTGAAACAAATTCACTTATTTTCAGTATAAAAACATCTTGCCAAACGCTTGCATAACTGGAGTTCAAATTTGCTTATTCTGCATTTGCACTCATGCCAAATGCAGCCTTAAGTTTTTATGTGGAATCCTGCCAAATTATTATTCTTTGCTTCTTTCTATAGCTGTAGGACCAACATTCGGATTTCAGAACATGAGCATAATACTTTCTTAATGCAATGATGGAGGCAGAGATTCTCCTTCTCTTTTTGGTTTTTATCTTTGTAATATAGCAAGCAAAATTTGGAGAGGACATTCCCCACTGTTCCTCTCTGGCCCCACCTCTATTCATCCACTGGAAGGTCAAAGGTGTGCTATGTATAAGATTGTCTACAGAAAGGTGTACTATGTATAAGTTTTCCTATTTTCTTTTTGTAAATCCAGAGCCACCTTGGCCAATTTGTTCTAGAAGTTCTTAGCCTTTTGCACTTCACCTTGATCTGTTTCTCTGTGAATGTGATCTCCTATAATTGGAATATCCTTGCTTTATATTTTATCTCAATTAGGATTTGCCAGTTCAAACTTCTATGGTTCATGATCATTCCATCACATTTTTGTCAACAATTCTTCGATATATCATATGTTTAGAAGTTGTTTTGTTTTCTCTAATATGCACTTCTTGCCCTACTTTTTGCAGCATCTGGATATTACATTTAGGCGGGACCCAACTAATTATCGACCACGAATAAACAAATTGGACTCAACGAAGGACAGAGAGCAAAAGGCTGCTGGGTCCTACTACTACCTGGATGATTGACAGTTTGGGATGGAGGTTATCCTCACTGTTCGTTGTTTTGCTTTCTTTTTTTTTTACACCTAGATCATAGTTGTCAAGGCATTGCCTAGGCGCCCACCTAGGCGACTAGGTGCCTTGCCCAAATGCCTTGACTTTTAGCAACTAGGTGCCCTTCTAGGAAACTAGGTGCCCACCTAGGCGACAAAAATAACAAGGTGGACGCCTTTTATAATATCACTTATATTGTTGTATCTTATTAATGTATGTGTTAATACATTTTATTATATGCTATATATATATCAATTATACTTTGTTTTAATGTTTTACTATTGAAATTTAAAAGATCAAAGGGTTTTGAGAAGAGAAAAAGAAAGAAAGAAAGAAAAGAAAGAATAGAACAATAAAGTTCTTTTTTTCTATTCTCTCTCTAATTAAATAAAACAGAAACTCCATCCTTGTTTTTTTTCTATTTTACTTTCCATCTTAAATATTTATCATATAAAGTTAATAACCTTCTTTAGCTGCTAATTAATATGAATTTGCTCTATTAAATACTTATTATAGTAGTATTATTTTTGAAAATAATGAAATTAATATATGTAAAAGATTTTTATCTTTTAGATGTGATGATTTGCCACATTTTTAGAGGAAATTTAATCTTCTTAATAAAGAGAATTGCTATTTTTTCAATTAACATACATGTTGAATGGTATATAAAACTAGGAAACTAGCCAAAAGTTGGTTCTTTATATTATAAATTTACCTAGGTGCCCTAGTGTCGCCCAGAATCGCCTAGACACCTTGAAAACTATGACCTAGATAAATGCTTGATTTTTCTGTCTGCCCTCTCCTTTTTGCAGCTATTTATCTTATGTAAGATTAAACAAGCATGAAGCCATGAAGATGTTACACCATTTACTGAGCCTGGGTGGGTTATCTTCTAAGACCCAACGCTGGACCTTGGTTTTCAGAGGTGGTTCTGTTTCCCTAATTACTATGCATATTTCTTTTTCCACCTAGACAGTGGCCTAAATTTTTCTGTCCATCTTTGTAGGTATTTTCAGGTTATGTAAGATTAAGAGGGCGTACAGTTCAGCTAGTTATGGAGCTTGGTTTATTTTTCTTCTGAGATTCAGACAAAGCCCAAACCTTTTGGTATATGGGAAACCATCTATATATATTCTAGTTTCAATGGATTTTTCTTTTCTAGTTTAGCTGGTTCTGTTTGCAAGTTGTTAGGTTGGTGAATTTAGGGGTTACGTTATCGACTCTGCTCTTCTTTCTTACTTTTTCACTGAGTGGAAGGCTCTGCTGAAAGAGAAAAACTTGAGTTGAAGGTATTTTTCTTCAGAAAGTATATGAGAACAACAATGTTGGAAACAAAGCTTGTGCTTTTGTAGCAAATTTTGGATAGTTTCTATATTGCCCCAATCTAAGAGAGTGAAGTGTTCAAGAATGGTTTGATCTTCCACTTGTTTTCCCATGAAAATTTCCTTGAGGCTAAAACTTTCCCAACTGAATTACTTTTGAGGTTTCTGATGGGTCAGCCACGCTCTAGCATCATGTGGATGCTCTCATATTTATTTTTACCTTGCCTATGGTTGAGTCGATTTTTCTGGGTGAAGCTATTTACAGATGAAGGAAGTAGCTTTGCTCCATTGTATGTACAAGCATTTCATGGCATGCTGATTTTGCTTGAAATGCAAGGGCCTTTGGTACAGATGCACAGGTTCGGGCAAGCATACAGTGACAAAAATAAAGGCGATAAATGTTTAAAGTGTGTCCTATCATGGAAGAAAACTTGGAGCATTGGAAGCCTATTGCCTGCCAAAAGCTTTAGATGCCATGACAAGGTCATGGACAGATGAATCTGGAGCAAGATTGGGCAATTTTAAGAGATTGCTAGGGTATGATAAAATAATTATGACACCCATGGATATATGGTAAGGAAGCTTAGCTATAAACAGGGTATAAACAAATTGGCTATACCATATCACCACATTCCACAACTCAAATTGGCTATAAACAGGGTATAAACAAATATGAAATATGAGAATTGAGACGTACTTTTAACAGCTTGTATAAAGCAAGCTTCATATATCAGCATCATAAAGTGTCAGAAGGCAATTTTAAGATGCCGAGGAAGTTGGTTAATGAGATTTTGATTCCCATTGACCAAGAAACTTATGCTTTTTATTTTCAGATTTATGGGGTGATCAAGGAAATTATTTTCTTGGGTATTACCAATCTCTTAAGTGGGTAAATAACTTTCCCACTTGGGGCAAAGCTGTCAATACTTGAATAGGACAAAAATGTCATTTTTAAAAATGAATTTTTATGACTAAAATGGTCATTGTTTTATTTACAAAGGAAATCAAAGAACATGGTTTAATGCACTTACTCGGGTAAGTCTTTCCTATGAAACACTTACACGGGGTCTTGAGGGTAAATAGCTAAAACCTCTTTTGAAGTTTAGTAATTGCAATCACCTCCCTCGAATTTTTTGATATAGTTATAAGTAGATCCCCTCTGGTGGAATCTTCTAAAAAAGGCATAAAAATGTCTAAAATACCCAAACAATTACTACTGAGGCTGATTGCTTTGGGGGGACAAAAACAATACAAACTTTATGTACAACAAAAACAAAGAGAATTTAAAGTTGTAGCTTTGAGTGATTGATATGAATGGCAAATATGAAAATTAAATCAATTTTATAAAAGAGATCGGGTGGGTTTGGGGTAGTGATTCATATGAAGAGAATATTTGGAAAATAAAAATTTTTGTCAAAAGTAATTGCATAGTATTTTGGACCTTTTCATGCCTCATTTTAGAAGATTCTATTAGAGGGGGTCTATTTGCAATTATGTCAAAAGGTTCATGGGAGGTTTCAACGATAATCAAAAACTTCAATGGAGATTTTAGCAATTTACCCTTTTCTTAAAAATGGTAGTGGATCCTTGGGAAATTTATATAGAATTAATTTTCTTTTCAGTAAGTTACTTATCTTAGTGTTTTCTAGGTATTACTTTCCTAGTTAAATGTTTTTAGGCATTATCTTATTATTTTTATGGATATATTCTATTCTTATAAAGGGTAATTGTCTGATGGTGTTTTGGCATTTTTCTTTGGGAGAAGGGTATTTTATTTATCCGGATAAGTGATACAAGGTCCTGTTCGCTTTTTGGTAAGTTATTTGGGTAAATTCACTTACCTAGGTAAGTTTTTTCTGGGAAACATACCCGAGTAAGTGCATTTACCCATGTTCTTTTATTTCCTAAGTAAATAAGGCAATGACCATTTTAGCCACAGAAATCCATTATTAAAAGAGACATTTTTATAAGGGATACAAGGTCTTGTTCAATTTTTGGTAAGTTGAGTAAATGCACTTACCTAGGTAAGTTTTTCCTGGGATACCTGGGTAAGTGCATTTACCCATGTTCTTTTATTTCCTAAGTAAATAAGATAATGACCATTTTAGCCACAAAAGTCCATTATTAAAAGGGGTATTTTTGTCCCATTTAGGAAACTTCCCCCCCCCCCGCCCCCCCATATTGGAAAGTTATTTACCCACCTAGGAGATGGGCATCACTTACTTAGGTAAGTGATACCTAGGAAAATAAAGTTTCCCTGATCCCCACATAAATCTGAAAAAGGAACATGGGTTTCTTGGTCAATGGGAACCAAAATCCCATTGACCAACTTTTCCCCCTCTCCAAATCCGAAAAAAGAACACCCCCAAAGGGAAAGTATATTTACCTTGGGACCCACATGATAAGCCAAAGGAATGTAGGAAAGTTTGTAAACTTTTCCATTAACTAATTCCCCCCTCCCCAACTTATTGAAAAATGAACAAAGCCATGGTGGAATGATAAGGATATGCTTGTATATATTGGGAAAATCCATATAAATCTCATAAAACTTAAGGTTATGTTTAGTTAAATTACAAATTTCATTTGCACATGGGAGTAAAAAAGGGTTACGCTTTTGCTTCATTTGGTTGTTTGCGATTAGTAAAATAGGAAGAAAAATAAAGTGACCACTTTAAATGAAAGAGAATAAAGCTAAGAAGAGGTTATTTGTTTAGGAATATGGTAAGATGCAAGATGATGTGATTCCCATGTCATCTTATATCAATATAAATGCATTAAGTTGGAATGTGTATGAAAGAAGGTTTGAGAAGGCAAGAAATGGAATCTAACAGTAAATTTTGTTTTTTTTCCTTCCAAATTACTAGAATGCCACTCTCTTATACCAACTCTCTCTCTCTCTTGCTTTTTTCTTCTTTTAAATTACAAGAATGTCACTCTCTCCTACCAACTCTCATTCTCTTTTTCTTATAAATTACAAGAATGCCACCCTCTCTCCTATCAACTCTCTCTCTCTCTCTCTCTCTCTCTCTCTCTCTTTCCTTACAAATTAAAAGAATGCCACACACTCTCTCTCTTTCCTTATAAATTACAAGAATGCCATTCTCTCTCTTGCCATCTCTTTCTCTCTCCTTATAAATTACAAGAATGCCATTCTCTCACTAAGGGAGACCGCAGCTTGGCATGTCGGCTACTAGGGGACTTGCAATCAAAGTTAGTTGAGCTAGAGCTGATATGAGCTCGACCTCAAGTCTAATTCGAATCGAGCTCGAGCAAGACAAACACCTCGACCACTAAGGGAGACCTCGGTTCAGCACCTTGACAATTGAGGGAGACATTAGTTTGGCACCTCGTCAGCTAAGGGTGGCCTCAACTCGACACCTCGCTTGCTAGAGAAACCTCAACTCAACACTTTAGCAGCTGAGGGAGACTTCGACTCGACACCTCGGCTGCTAGGGAGACATGCAATCAAAGACCTCACGAGCCTAATTGAGTGAATAGATAGGGTGTCACCTCAGCTCGACACCTTGTCAACTAAGAGAGACCTCATCTCGACACCTCATTTGTTAGGGAAACCTTAGCTCGACAATTCAGCAGCTGAGGGAGGCCTCTATTTGGCACCTCGACAATTGAGGGAGACTTCAGCTCGACACCTTGGTTGCTAGAGAGACTTGCAATCAAAGTTAGCCGAGCTCGAACTTTCAATCTTTTGACTCGATTCGAGCTTGAGCTCAAGTCCCTAATTTGAATTGAGCTCGAGCCTGATAGTTTATGAGTGAGCCCCTACAATGTAGGGTCCCCTCCTGTAGTCTATCTATTAATATGAAATGGGGATACATGGATGCATTCAACATTTAGAGAATGGTATCTTCACGTGCAGATTATAAAATAAGCGTGTGAGGATAATCTGTTATTTGAAAGGGATGGTAGAATCCATCGTATGGACACCAAAACAATGCGAAATAAGTGGGTGAATTTCAAAAATTTTCTACCTGCCTTTCAACTAGGAATTGCATTCCCTAATTTTTGAATCAAGATTCAAGGATCCTACTTGAACCAGAACCGAACCAGATCTGAACCAAAAGTGAAGGGGGAATTATACCTGATCCAGAGAAAAAATTTCTCCCAAAGTTGGTATTCACGCCCAAAGAAGGAACCAAGATCTGCTCATGCTGAAGATGACATAGCAACTGTGGAACATAACTAGTAGGGTGCGTCCTACACACTGAATCCTTCATAAGAATCCTTTGGATGACAATGAGCACCAAACCGAATCAACCTTTCAATAAAGACTGATATCAAGAACTCTTCTTGATCTTTCTCTGACAGAGAAAACGAACTGTGACAGATGGATGGCGGCTGCAACAGGAGGAAACTAGAGAAATAGATGGCGAACTGCTTTTCTTTTCTCTAGGGTTTCTGAGATCCTATCTCACAAAACTACAGAGTGTCTTCTGTCTCCCTAGGGTTCGAATTCATGTGATTCGAATAGGGTTTCTCCTAGTTGCTTAATGATTAAGAAAGGATTTCTTGATCATATCAGGAGTTGCCCCTTATCCAAATCTGTATTTGGATTAGGACTCTTCTTAATCCTATCTGCAAATTAGATAAGCTTTTGGGTTCATCCTAATCTCAGATCCGCCCCTTAATAATGAGTGATCAAATCAGCCTAGTTCAAAATGGGCTTTAGGCCCAATAAGGTTATGTGCTCAAAAGTCTTCCAAACTGCTGTCTAGTTGGGCTTCTTTGTATGGTGTGGGACCCAAGCATTGATCTACACACCAACCACATGGGTTCGGCCCAGCCTCTGTTACAAGGCCTGGCCGAATTCACTGGAGAGCCCAGTAAACCCCCTGAGCCCATCATATGGACCCTTATGGGCCCAACACTTACACTAAGTGGTCTCTGGGCCAAGCTATCTTCTAAAAACCCAGGGAATGTGGGCAGGTGCAAGATTAGCCCATCAGGTGTTATCCCAAATGGCCTTACACTTAACCTCTCAGCCCATAATGATCAAGCACTACTCGACAAGAGAGGACCTCTCCCTCGGCTACAAGGAACAGTGCTACACTCTTTACTTACATGGATCCCGGGAATTAAAA